GATGCCTCCGATGATGTACTGTTGAAAGTGACCAGTCGGGTTCGCATCGCGACAGCAGGTCAGGTCGCGGCTTGCCGAACATGTTCTTCATTCCATTGGTGATGAACCACGCACCGACAATAGCCAAGGCTAGGCCAAGCAGGCCGACGTGGAGCTCCCATAGCTTCCGCTTCCAGATGAGAGACTTGGGTGTACCCTCGGGGACAGTGTTGCCGGGAACGAAGATCAAGCACACTAAGAGTATGATGAGGGCGGGAACAAAAAGGTTCAGTACGAGCAGAAGCCAGACAGGTACCGTCTCACTTTCGGTGAAGGGAAACCTGTGCAAAGAGTACAAAGTTAGTCTGAGATATGAGGCGCAGAGGACGTTCTCAACGGAGGATGGCAGACGGCGACAGAAGAGAAAGCCAAGGGGTAGGGTGGATGAAGCGACGCGTGTAAGTCTTGGTATCTTGGCTGCAGGTCCCCTTTTCGGGGTCCCTGATTTGTCTGGTAGAGAGAAAAGGGTAGGGATGGGGAAGAGGTCAGTGAAAGGCGGTATGCTTGTGAATTACTTACGCGATGTTGGGGTCGACAAGAGAGAACGGACGCTTGTTTGGCTCGATGAGATGGAGACCGCCGCCAGCTCCCGCGACGATGACGAGAACGACCCAGTCGAAGATGTATGAGCAAATGAGGGAGGCTGTCCATGAGCGATCGTGAGGTTTCGTGAAGCGACCCTTGCGCTGGGCTGATGAGGAATCGGGCATTTTGTAGTAGGTTGGCCTTGATAACGGCGACACGCTGAGGTTGGTGAGGGGGATGGAGTCGGGCATGGGATGCGACGGTGCAAAAGTCGTCCTGGGGGGGAAGGGGGCGGCGGATGGCGGAAGCCAGAAGGATAGCCCGGTTGATATACCTAAGGTCGGTAGTAGGCAGGGTAGGTAGGTACCTAGTGCGATCGAGGCAAGTCGCGGGTCTTTCCTTGGTTGCGACTGACCTGCTAGCGCTTGCGCTACTTGTCAAGAAGGGATGGTAAGGTTCGGGAGGCGCTATCGACGCAGTACAATGCCAATCTCGTTGCGTGGGATGGCGGGAAGCGGTTTGTGTGGAGGATTCCTTGTCTTTGCGTCGTTCCCAGTGGCTGGCTGGCGGTGGTGTCTTAGAACTACACAAGGCTCACACAGCAGCAAGTGGGGATGAATGTCGCGTACTTGGTACCTAGTCAGGTCCGAGTCACACGGGGGAGCGCGAGAAAGCCAGAGAGTGCCGACGCGATAGATGACTTCAGGCACGACGACAGCTTTCCTAGTGTCGAGCAAGGGATGATGCAGGCGGTACGTCGAAGTGAATGGCGTCAAAGCTACGATAAATTCAGTGCATAGGAGGGGAAGGAGGGTGGAAGGGGGGGGGGGGGAGAGAGTGTGTGAGTGAGAGAGAGAGAGAAACAGAAAGGCAGATGTTGGCGCAGCAAACGCTCACCAATGTTAAACATAAACGGCCAGGGATCAAATGAACTCTGTGCTGGCCGATTGGCCTCTCCCAGCTTTCAAGTAAAGCGCCTCGCCGCGGTTAGATCAACCCGAGCGGCAGAGGGAGGCGCAGACGTTGATCATGACACTAGAGCAATGTTTGGAAAGGAACCACCCATGCCTGACGTAACCCTGCATCGCCTGAGCCTACCTTAACCGCGTGCCTTGCTCGCCTACCGACTTTACCAGTCGCCCAAAGGTAAGATAACCTAGGTGCAAGCTTTCCCATCGCTCTGCTCCAAGCCTTGGTGACCATTCACGTGTCAGTGCAATACGGTCGCACCGGCGTCGTGGGCAAAGTGTAATCGTAAGGCTTGCCTAGTTTGCCTGCCAACATTCCCCAAGCCCCTGAAAAATGAGGGTCGAGACTGAGCCGTGAAAAATGACGAGTCATGACGCATCAGGCAAGTAGTCGCGTGGCAGTGCATCGGGCGAGGATCATTTTAGCAACTGCAACGCCTCCTCATTCAAAGTAGGTGCCTAGCTAGGGACCTACCTTACCTTGGTGCATGCACCAGAGCTGCATGGTAGCACGTAACCAAATACGACCCCTACAGGGCCTCTTCAATCTCCCCCGCCACAAAGTCCGCCACCCGTGGCCCCACTGCGAAAACACATGAAAACGTTGAGCGCACGCCCAAATTCGCAACTTGCCAACCACATCACATCGCGAGAGAGCCGCAGACCCCAAATGGCAATTGACCTTCGCACGATTATGAACCACAATGCAGATGTATTTACCCATTCCCTGATGAACCAAAGCCAAACCGACGCATGACTATGTACAATTTTGACACAGCTTTCACCACCGCCGACCGACATTCCCGACGGACACGGCCGAGTACCAGCACCTCCCAGCTCATCCAGTCCACGACCCCAAAAGGCGCAAGTCAGAGAGGCCAAAAGGAGGCTACTGGTCGGTTCGTCATCCAAACCCCCGCCAATCGGCGGTCCGTCGTGCCCAACTCCCACCCAGTCCGTCTTCGAAAGACAACCTCGACTCCAAGCGCCAATCGTGATAGGAAAGGGACACCAATGATCCCGTGTGCCAATCGACCAAGCCGAAACAAGACGCACACAAACAGAAATGAATAGAAAATAACAGGAAAAGAAACGCAACACAGCCGTGTCCAATGTAGGCCTCCTTGTGCCTTCGAGGCTGCAGAGGAGCAGCAGATGCATGCTCGTCGCTGGAAGTTGTCTGCGCGCAATAATGACGCGTGTGTATGAGGGAGAGGGTTGAGAGCATTGTCATCCGTCTATTAGTCGTAAGCGGAAGCAGGCCTATCATGAGTGATCCGCAATGGTCCACGTCACATCCTGACAGGAAGTCGAGCCATGATCATGATTAGTATTGACCGTAGTGACTGTCGTCTTCGCGTGTCGAGATCTGATCCAAAGAGAGGTGTGTGTCCGTGATGCCGAAGTGGGCGGCCATTCTCTTCGCCCACGAGCGGGTCAGGATTGAGGCTGTTCATTGTAAGCATCACGATGTAGTGGGACAAGTGAAGATTGTACTGACCCTTGAGGAACTTTTTGCTAGCGTACTTCTTGAAAAAGGCTTCATGAACGACAGGACGTGCGAGGTAGTCGACCATCAAGTGAGCAACAGGCTCGACCTCCTCCTCGGTGTATCCGGCGTAGTAGGCAATGGTTTCGTCCTGTTGGTACACGTCAGATGAGGCACACCACATGGGAGTTTGGATGAAAGGAGCCATACCCATTCGCCACGGTCCAGGATCATACGAGCCAAGTACATAGCACCGGCGGCGACGTGGCTGGGGCGGTAGGCCAGGAAGCGGTGGTCAAGAAGGCTGATCTCGGTAAGATATTTGCCAATGGTGCGACACTGGATGTCGTAGTTATCGGCCTTGGAGATGCGTCGAAGGAAGTTCATGGGGTTCGGGTAGCTGAGGTCGTAGTTGAGCGTGCTGAGCAGGAATTGTTCGGCACTAAGAATTTCGCCCTCGGTGAAACCGTCGTCCGCAATCTTGCGGAAGTTACCAACATGAGGAGACATAACCTCCTCATATTTGGCCGCAATAAACATGGCTGTAACGCCGACCAGCTGCAGGCGGTCCAACTGAACGACCTTTTCCGAGAGAAGCGGTCGATAATGTTGATGGCCAGGAACAGGGTCTCGGGGAGCAGCGTAAAGCGGGTGTGAACTTCGATGAGCCAGTCCACAAGGATGCCGCGAGTCTTCTACTCCAGGTCGTCCTGGTGCTCCATGTAGTTGGGGTTGGGAACAGACTTGCACTCCAGGTCCCGCAGATACTCAAAGATTTCGTTGGCGTACTCGGCAACCATGAGGGGGTCGTCGAGATCTTCGCTGTCGAGGTCCTTCACTCCGGCGGGCAGGCTGGGCTCGGCGGCGGCGCCAGGCTCGACGTCGACGGTAGGCGCGCTGGCGTCAACGAGCTCAACCCTGTCCTCGGCGCGAACGCGCTTCTTCAGGGCAGGCTCGCCATCGTCGACAGGCGTGGCTTCCTTCAAGGAAGATCCAGTTGTCGAGGGAACCTTGCGTTTCGGGACGGCGGCTATGGATCCAGAGCCGCTTCGCTTCGCATCAGGCTTTTTCAAGTCCTTCGTGCCATGGACGGGACGCGTTGAGGTGGCGCGGGAGTGTTGCTTCTGAATGCCGGTAGGTTGGGCGACCTTGGATACGAGGCTGCCTTTGCTAGCTGCCTTCTTGCCTTCCACGTTGCTTATCTTTCCCACGTTGCTCACATCCTCAAGCGCGCCGCGCTTCCTCTGGATGCCCTGGGCGTTCACAGTCAGGGCGGACTTTTTGGTCTGGAGCACCTTTTTGGGCTCGTCGATGCCTTGCGCGGCGGCTTTGGCGCGCGTCATGCGCGTAGAGCCACTGTTCTCATCATTCTCGTTCGAAACCAGTCGCTGCGTGCGAACCGATCTAGCCTATTGAAGCAGCACGTCAGAACCCGAAAACCCCATGAAGCCGGAGTCAGATCGGTCTCCTCGCCGTTGAAAATGCACAGTGGCAGGTGACAAGTACGTACGGGAGGCATATTGGCTACGGTGATTAGAACAGCCGGGTGGTCGTTGTAATCGGACGTGGTTGGCGAAGAGTCTGGAGCAACAACAAGGGTCAGCGGCGACGCGTCAAGATGGAGCAGGCGCGATGGTGGGAAGGTCAGGAAGCTTCAAGCTGAAGGCGACAGCGAGTTTCGTTGTACCTTTTGTTCGACTCAAGCTTCGAGGTGCAGTGGAGGGAGAGCAATCGACGCGGAAAGGAAGCGGATTGCTTTTTGACGTCTCAGCAATGTATTCAAGGGATTCGCGTCCGGAGAAGCTGCAATGCGGAAAAAAACAATAGCAAACACGCAAGAGGAAGACGACAGGACGTCGAGGTGCCAATCGTGTATATCTCAAAGAGGAGGTGAGAGGAAAGCAAGCAAG